GAATTTGGATATATTAAATGAGTAATTATTGAAGCTATTCAGCTCTGTATTTATGTTATATTGATGTGCCGCAGCAATGTGATTGGTCTGATTGGAGTTACTTGCTCCACACTAGGATCTACCAAGGTTTTTGAATGGGCTAGCAGACCCTCCAAAACGTCCGGTGTTATGCCCAGGTGTTATTCTTTAAATACATTTAAAGATATTCTTTAAATACATTTAAAGAATGTATTTAAAGAATGTATTTAAAGAATAACTTCAGCGAATAATTGTGTGAGATCCCAGTGTGGAGCAATTAACTCATTCATGTTATTACTTCACTCTTACTTATATTTTATTTTTGGCTCTGTAGCAGGGTGCCGCCTCCTGGTGGCGGGGGGTGTAGGGCCATGTGCTGTGCTTCGTTACATGCGACCCAGAGGTCGCGTTAGCGGAATATTTTCCGTATTTGACCGGTTTTTTTTTTTTTTACTACATGAAAATTTAAAGCCCGTCGGTCATTTGACAGGTTATAATTAACACCCTCATGCGAGGACGTGATAGACTTTACGCAAAGAGTTCATCGCAGAGGAAACTAAAATCAATCAGTAAAAGAATCCTTTCTGAATATCATCTCATGGACACTGAACTAAATGCGTCTTTCTGACCGGTGTTATATCTTTAAAATTTCCTCTTCGGTCATATTTCAGTCCGTTTTCTCGTCAATATGCGAGAGCTTAGAGCGATGCGCGCTCCCGCGAGAGGGGATGCAATTTTGGGCAGGCATGCGTTTCTGGGGATAACACCGGAAGGCTTATTGTATTGTACAAAACAAAAAAATAATTTTAGTATATGTTATTATGTGTCAGAAGAGTAATAATACCAACAAAAAACAAAAACAAAAAAAAAGACCAAAAGGGCACTTTGGGGCAAGGAGCAAAAAGGGCAGGTGCTCAAGCACCCCCAGCTCCCCCTCTGCACGTGCCTGTTACAATTTTTCTCCGTTATCCCTTCTGCTTTTCTGACATGTTACCCTCACCTTTGGTAAATCCGTAATTTTTAATTAAGAAGTTGATGCAGCTCCGTCGTGCAGTTCGGCTGAATGACCGATATTAATGTGAAATTTTACTTGTTGAATGTTTGTATTTCTAAACGGAACCGCATAAAGTGCATTTTGAATCCCATACCGGATTCCGTTTGGACCGTTTCACTCGTTGTGGTTTGGTCGCCATCTTTGTTACTGCATCAACAACAACGTCTCCACTTGCTTAAAGATGAGCAGCGGCGCCCTCTGGTGGATGGCAGTCAACACTACAAAACTGAAATTAGTTCTACTGGAACTAGTTCCTAGCTCCAGTTTAACTAATTTTTATCTAATAATAACCAATCAATCAACGTTTAATCATAAGTATTTGCTTCCCTGGACAATGTCCACACACATTAAATCATAATCTATCATAATTTTCTTTATAAGAATCCCCTCTGTGTGGAAGTAGGAGCAGCTTGGTATAGGAAGGGTCGAGGCTTGCCTGATGAGTCACCACGGTAACTCTGGGGTTATCCAGGTTGAGCCAGGAGGGAATCTGACCATTGGTTACGATGAAGATGTGCCGCACCCAGGGGGCGTGCTTCTCCACAGAGCGCAGCGAATAGCGCAGCTCCTCGTTGTCTTCGAATCGGCTCGCAGATACGTCTTCATCCTGCTTAGACTGAGGGGCAAGTGCATTTACGATCGATAAAAAGCTCTACGGATCTCACAGACAACTGATCTCCAGATCCAGGCGTACCTGGGAGATAGCTGTGAGATCCCAGAACAAGTAGGCAGGGCTGATGCTCAACTCTTTCCCATCAAGAGTCAGGTTCTTTTTGGCCTGCTGACTCAGATCGGTGAAATCCTGCTGGGTTTTCAGCTGAAGCAGGGCGATGCTGGCCTCTGAATACAGCTCAAACTGTAGTAAACAGAAATATAACCAGAAAAACATCAATACAGCAGCGCATCAAAGGAAGATGACAGACCAAAAGTTAACTGAATAGATGTGCTTTTCAGGATTTAAAAAAAGCAGCCTTTAATTTCATTTTAATCCTTAAATACTCGTATCCGATTCGAACACGCGCTGACTGTTTGCCTCAACTTGTCCTCAGCTCCTGTTGAGGTCAGAAGGATTTAGTGGAAGGGTTACAACAAGCCGTGGGTCACGGGACTCTTTATAGTTCCATTTAATGCTCTAACAAAAGGCAAACTGAGCTGAGGTGTGAAGAGAGGCACGCGTCTATGAACAAGTGTTGAGTTGACGCATGCAAAGACATGTTAGTGCTGACACATCTGTAAAATGTATAACAAGAACTGGAATTACAGACTGCTGCCACTGTGGCTGCATGATAAAAAAAAAATACCAAAAAAGAAAAAAAAAAAAAAAAACTCTGTTCTATATTTAGTCTGTACGTAACTGCATCTTCTGAAGGGGTGGAGAGATGCAAGTTACTGATCAGAGCAGGAAACGAGGACAGGAAGCGTCAAGAAATTAAATCGTTTTATCTGCAAATACACTTGAATCGGACAAATACTGATAATCCCTCCAAGATAAACCATTAAAATCCTGCAAGCAGTGATTTAATGCAATCACTTTTGACGAGATTATCTACAGATAAAAAAAAAAGAATGAGATGAAACAAAACTGTTTTATTTCTGTCCAATTTTAGAAGTTGTGCAGAATTTGCAGCTCTCCAGCAACACAACATACAAACCAGTTAATACATATTTTAATTTCCTTTAATTTATACCCTAAAAACTAAACTAAGAGTCTTCAAAATTCACCCCAGACGCAAACAATTTTGATAAATCCATAAATTGGAATGTTATTTAAATATAACTTACTTCAGGAACTTTATCACAAAATGGAGCACATTACATTTATTTTAGTTAACTGTGATGATTTTCACACATACAGCTAATGAAAACATGGCATTTAAAATTAGAATATTACAGCAGATGAATAAAAAATATGTTTAAAAACAGGAATATGGGCTTAATGTTTTTGCTACATCCAGATAACTTTGTGGAAGAATTTTTCTCATTTAAAAACAACTTTTTCCTCCTAATTTAACGACAACTAAATTCTTGTAATTAAACTAAAAATTTTGTAGCCTGGACCTTAATACTCTGTTGCAGAACTCGCAGAAGGGATTATTTAATTAAAAGTCACCTTTTGAAAATATTTTCTGTCATCTGTAGTTTCTTTTAAATAAAAAAGGCAAGAAAAAGAGTAATTAAAATCAGAAATTGGATATATTTTAAGCCATATCACCCCGTTACAAGTGACTAACTCTGGAGAATACAAATGTGTCAACATAACGCCAAAGTGGAAAGATGAGAAGCTACTGTTGCTCCCCATTAATGGAGAAAAATCAAAAACAACATTTCTAAACCAGTTCTAGTCAAATATCTTACAAAGAGAGCGACTATTCATTGGAAAACGTTTAAAACAGCTGCCAGACTCAGCAGGATGTCAATTGTTTAGATTCGGGATAGTGCAATCAGGAAAAGCTTGGTTTGTTTAGAACACGAGTCAAACTGAAGGCCCGTGGGCCAAATCCGGCCCGCCAAAGCTTTTTATGTGTCCCTCTAGATTCTAGACTAAACACTAAGTGAGCTTAGATATTATTTTATTAAATCAAATCAATGCAGTTTTTATCTGTTTACTGCCAAATCATATCAATCAGTTTCTCCAGTTTCTTCAGATTTATCGTGAAAATTCACACAAAATCAACAAATCACAACCTCTTTGCGCTAATATATAATTGGGAGTTTATAGCTTATTTCTCACAAAAACTGTCAAAAACTGTTTACTTGTACTAAACAGCTGCCTCAGCCTCAATTGATTACAGATTACAGCCATTAATCTATATAAAAAGTCGCATTTACCGTCATAAATAAGCACAACTTTCCAAATTAGTGCCACAAAAGCTTAGATTTTCATTGCAAAAAAAAAAAAAAAAAAATCACAAAAAGTATCATGAAATCCTGGAGGGACTGAAAAGATGTTTCAACAGTTTGTGAACAGGTTTTATCAAGACATTCTGGCACAACCGGCCCTTTAAGATCCTTCATGATCTTGATTTGGCCCAAAATGAAAATTAGTTTGACCCTCTTGGTTCAGAAGAACTGACAGAAGAAAACTTATTCTTTCCAAATATACATATATAAATAGTAGCACAAGAGGTTATGATTTGGATTTGTTTTGTAACCACAGGAGATGGGATTTAAAATACCCAGTGAGATAAACATGTCAGCTCATCAGGCTCGCACACAAACACGGGGGCAGGACTCATCAGGCGGGTGATCGGGCTTGTAGTCCAACTTCCATCAGCGTATCACTCACCCTAATACCGGCTATAAATACAGAGCTGCTCTCAGCGCTGAAACTCACCGGCCGCACTATGCAGATCATCCCCGTTTCAAAGAAGCGGCCCAGCGACACCAGGAAGCACCCTGAAACCCAAACCGTGCATTGTGTGGAGGCTTGTGCAGCCGGAGGCCGCGCCAGACAGGAACGGCCAGCCAACGCAGAGCGGAGCGTCCATCGTCTGGTCTGGACTTCGCACGCTGCGATAAATCATCAAATGAGGACCCAGAAAAGGCGAGGAACGGGGCGACAGAGCGGGTTCTCCAGGTTCAGAAACACACTGGTGACCTTTCAGCATGCAGACTGGCATGGGGCCACAACAAACAGTTGTTCTAATGTTAGCCCTCCACACACACACAGATACAGTTACAGCCGGAATATCGCCGGATATTATCACACAACCTGGACCAGTTCATGTAACGTTGGGACAACTGGATTGGGGATGATAACATGTGGGTTAAATGGTGCATCAGCCACTAAAACAGCTGTTTATCGGCTGATTCTCCAGCTGTTTGCTGGTCAGAGACCAAAACGCACGATTTTAAACATAAATAATTAAGTCCAATCTAATTTAATGGTTACGCTCTTTATTGTACAGTTTACTGAGGATGGTTTATATAAAAAAACATTCAAAGGAAAATAGCTAAACTCTCACAACTCCCAATAAAGACACTTATAACTGCCTATTTTAATAATTCATACACTGAAAATACTTTAATATACATCAATAGTAGTGCTGTTTGAGCATTACCGCAGAAGCCAATGTCTACATCTTCCTTATCTATGCTCCTGGGGTTACAGCCAATCAGAGCCAATGAAAATAAATGGAGCTCCTGGATTGGCTGCTTCACAAATGCCAGCCAATTCAATTTAATTTCAACAGAACAAAAGTGCCTTCTATTCAATTCAAGATACATACAGTATATAAAACTAAACAGTGTGGAAAAAATACAGAAAACAAGCTGGATAATTTACTTCCAGTTTGTGTTACCATTGAGTGGATCATTGCCTTTTCATCCTCCCAGATGTAAAAATTTACTTTACTACACAAAACCAACCAAACTTTAGGTGTATACTGACAGAATTCAAAGAAAATGTTTGCTTTAATTAAAGTAAAATGTACATTTTATATAAAATTACTACTATGATAAGTGTTCAATTAAACACAATATGACTATTTTGGATAAATTAATCAGTTAAATTAACCTAAATACAACATACGTTTGTTCAACCAATCCTTAATGAACCAAAATAACAACTAGGTGTACACGAATTCGCTAAGCCTGTTGTTTAACATTTATTTGTATTCTCATCATAAACTAAGCCAGTTATGAAAGATGTTACTGAAACTCATCAGCCATGTGAGAGCATCACCAGAGCCGCCCTGTTCCAGGCTGCAGCGGCAGGTTCGCTCCGCGCCGCGCTTGTTTTCTTTGATTATTCAGCATCACCCCACACTCGTTAGTGGCACTCCTGCGTCCCAAAATACTCAAACTGCGAGTCGGTGAGCCAAACAAAGAGCTTTCATCCTCACATCAAAGTAATTGTTAAAAATAGAGGGAATATTCTTAGCTGTGTCTTAAGCCTCATCAAGTGAGTGCTGATGCTACTTAAGAGGCATAAACAGTTAAAGTTTATTGTTGCTGTTAGAAATTTGCTTTAGTAGAATTTATGTACATAAAAAATATTTTTTTTCAGTGTTTTATGTATGAAAAATATGTTTTTCATTCTTTAGATCGCACAACAAATGCAGTTTAGAAGTCAAAGCTCTTACTGCACTTTGATCAGAAGTGCAACGTTGCCCCCTGCTGGGCTAAATAAATATTACAACTTATCCAGCTACTTCCCAAAATTTTATTTTATTCTTTTCAATTTTTACAGATTTTTGGGAATAGAAATGTTCTAGTTTTTGGTTAACGTAATTCTCCCCAAGAGACAACACATCCAGCATGTCAGAACTAAATTCTTTTCCAGAGATCTCCGTCCATTTCTGGGCCGCTCCTACCTGCTTGATCTTGCCGGTTATGGCCGCAGGCAGTTTGACTCGCAGCTGCTCCGTATCCTTGATCGATGCCGGAAAGCCGCTCAGGTAAGCCAGAGACTGCGTGTGGATGAGACCCGGAGCCTCTTTGTCCGTTGTCTGAAGGACAAACAGAATAAAAACGTTAGAGATCTGTTCTGAGTTTTCTTTTATCAGATAAAATTCTCAGTTTGTGCCAATTTGGTTCTGCAGCGCTCTACTGAAGGGCCACCACATTTTAATCAGGTTAAGGTCTGTACTTTGACTGAGCCTCTTCTTTTCTGTTGTATCATTAGCTGCGTTTCTATTTCATAATTGAAATTACAAAAATAAATTTGCTTAAAGGAAACACACACATACACACACACAAAAGCTTTTGCACTAGAATAAGGTTGTTTTACAGCTGTATCAAAATGAGTGTAAACTTTTTTTCGCACCACACGAAAGAAAAGGACAGGAAGTAAAGTTAAATTTAAAGAATTTTAACAGGTAAAGAAACTCACAAGATAGCATCTGGAAACAGAAAATTTGTGGACTTCCCTGGAAAGATCTTTATAGGCTTTATCAGCTGAAAAAGACAAAAGGGCACAAAAACAACAGTGCTTAGACTCAAGTTTATGTTCTGGATAAATGTGAGTCCATGTCGGCGCCACTTTTCAGACTACACAATAGGTCTGAAAAGTGTTAGGAATGCAAGTTATCGATTAATGAGTTAAATGTAAAGTTCACTGACCTTATCAATGGTCTAACAATCCAGTAATAAACTGTCATTTTCTTAAAAACCTGATTTTTCTCTATTATCAAGAGCGTTTATATTTCAAAACAGAACATTTTAAATCCCACACCGGACCTCTGAACCTGTTTGAACCGGTGCGCCATCTGCCGTCTGTAATTCTGTCATTCAGCGGCGCCCTCTGCTGGATGGCGGCCAGACTACAACACTACAACAAGGTCTAACGGACGATATTGTTTAATTGAATTTAACTAATTTTAACCTAATAAATTAATAAAAAATTAGTTAGAAGTTGATTAATTGTTTGCAGCCCTAACATTTTCTGCTAAATTTAAGCATTTTCAGCTCACAAAAGCAGCGATTTTTTTATTTTTTTTAATTATTTTTTTTTACCATCAGCCTGCGAATGAAAGACAACAACGGAGACGCTGACGGGCAGGTGGAAAGGTTTCTTCATGATCAGCAGCTCTTTGGCAGCAGAGAAGGAGGCAGAGACCGCTGGCAGCTCTTTGAGGGTGAGGTTGGCCGGCAGGGCGGGATCCAGCGCCAGCATTGGCGCCACGATGCAGTGGGACAGCAGGCATTCAGGCTTATCACTGACAAAACATGAAAAAGGGAATAAATAAAACACATCTGCACATCCAAGGAGAGACCCTCTTCCTTTGTGTTGCACTTGCGCCGTTCTGTGTGTGTGGAGAAATGAAGTTCACACGTTCAGCCGACATGAAAGGTTGCATGAAGCAGCTCTGGTGTTTGTGGTTACACTTTGACAAAGCAGGCGAAGACGAAGAGTTCAAACAACACAGGAACCACACAAGCCAAAGTCCAAACTTTGGAACAAATCAGTCCGGAGATTATTTATCACCTGGGTTTATAAGATGTCTCTTAAAACGTGCAAATTTTTTAGAAGGTTTGTTTCATTTATAAGTAAACAACAACCACACTTTATCTTTCAGGACCCTTATCAGTTCAGACGTCTGAATTTTGTTTTCTTGTGGTTTAACCGACCCCGGCTTCCTGTTATAAGAACTCTGCTGCTTTACTCTGAGAAAACCCTGCAACTCTGACAAGCCGACCTCAAAGACCTTGTCGTTATTTTTCGTTAAAACAGTTTGAGCCCAACTGGACAAATGTGACAAACTGCAGCAACTGCTTAACATAAATCTTTACATTCAGGCAAAAATGACTGAAAATTGCATGAAAGCGCAAACCACATCGCAACAAATTTAACACATACATTTTGTTAGTTTGTTTAGCTGGGATTTTACGTGACAGACCAACAAATATCTGTGCAAAATGGTGAAGTGGGAGGAAAAGAATTTATGATTTTCAGATTTTTGGAGAAGTAAAAATCTGGAAAAGTGCTGCATGTACCTCAGGTTCTTTGGGGTTAAGGGTCACAGAGAAAATTTAGTCTTTGCCTATTCTTCATTTCAAAGCAGCTCAAGCTCATTAAGAGCAGAAAGATTGTGAAAAGTTCTTACAGAGTAAAAAAGGAAATGTTTTCAATAATGGATAAATGGTCATTCTAGGAGTTTTTCTCTTAAGTTATTATGTAAAAATCTGTTTTTATTATCTAAACAGGCTTTTAAAAATAACTAGCTTCAAACTATGGCATCTAAATGTATTGATTTTCAAAATGTACATGAAAGGCTCATCTCATTCTACAAAATAATACAGATAATACAGAATAATACTCTTTAAAGAACATTTAAGTTCTTCAGGTATTAATAAAGTATTTTTATTAATGCATAAATAACACACACTTCTACTTCAATTGTGAAATTATTTAAGATTTAATTAGAATTTAATTTTAAATGTGAAGATCAGACATCTTTTTACTTCTGATTTATAAATATGTTAGTATAAAGGAATCTTTACAAAAATAAAAAGCATTGTATTCCTCTTTTATGCTAAAAAGCACTAGCATAAACCAACATTAACATAAAATACCTGAAAATATAATTAAATTGAACATATTTAACATTTGTGAACTTAAAGACCAATAATTTATTTTACTGCTAGTGTGTTGTTTTTAGTAAAACAGCACATTCTTGTGGTTGAAACATGATAAAATGTGAAAAAGACCGAGAAGAACTCACCTATCTTTTGGCACTTCTGTGGTGTCGTTCGCATTTTTTCCCAGTTGTTCCCTGTGTGCAAAAAAAAAAAAAAAAAGACAATAATCTACAAAATATGTGCACAACATTTAATTTGTGTTTACAAAGAACACATAAAATACATAAAAAGCCTAAAACAATCAAGATTACAAGAAATGCCTGAGAACTAATTCATATTTTTATTGTTGTGGAAGCATTTGAACTGATTAGGAGAAAAAAAAGTGCCAGTTTTCATTTTCAGCATGAGTCTGAGCAAACGGGCTGCTCTCCAACAGCTGCGGTGAAGCGTCTGCTACCTCAGAGCTTTTTGTTCTTCCTCCAGCTGCTCTTTCACCGCCTTCAGTTCCTTCAGCAGAGCCACATCTGTGCCGTTCACCCAGGTGTACACAACGTCAATAGGCATGGGCAGACAGAGTCTGAAAGTTAAATAAAACATCATATCAGTGATGCAAGGCTGTGATCCTGTTTATCTCCCCAATGCGGATTTCTGTCAAGTCTGGAATCTAGTGCAGTGTTTGTTCAGACATTGCCTCGCCTTATCCTGTTTTCCCTAATTCCCTCTCAAAGCAAAGCTCAACTGTTTTTTTAACAAGACAAACCAAAGCATTTATAAATTATTGTAAATTAATAAATCATTTAGAATTATCTCACAATCAGTGTTAACTCTTGGATCTTAGTTGCTCAGGTAAGAAATATGTAGCTTTGTTTAGCTTTTACTTTTTATTTATCCTCTGTCAGTACAAAATGTTTGCCAGCTACCTAAATAAAATATTAAATCATTAATTAATCTATACTACTTTAAAGCAACAAGATCCTCCAAAATAAAACACATTGAGACTGGTTAGGTAAGACTTTCAGCTGGTTCCATTCACTAACACTACATACAACTCTCCAATAAAAAGTTGTTTTATGTGTGTAAATCTCTATTGTTTTAATGTATTCTTGGGAGAAAAGGGGCAGATATTATAGGCATTTTAAAAATCTTATTAACTCTTAAAACTGGCAACTTTTCTATCACTCTTGTCAACCAGTATCGCCATCATGTTATGAAATAATGCCACAGTTCAGGATTCTGGACATGAGCAATTCAGTCTTGCCTTCTTCTTCTTTCTTTTGGACTTATTTTTATTTTATATGTTCATACATTTCAGGTAAGAAATTGTAAAAACAGTAATATAATTTTTTTTAATGTTAGGGTGAGATGGAGCCAGATGATTTACAGTAACAGATGTAAAAATCTTACCTGCTCTGGAATGATTTCCCACCCACATTGTCTCTATAGGAGTCAAATAGCACATGGTACTGGTCGCGACTCCACTCCATCACCACCTGAATGGGGAGAAAATGCAATTAACACATTTCTCCATCATAAATATGACACAAAACCAAGATTACTACAACACTGCTTTGCATATATTCAAGTGACATGGTAAGTTAAAGTGCAAAAATCTTCAAAATTTTAAAACAATGCTGCCAGTACCATATTTAAGACTATCAGAGTAAAGTGTGTAAACTGTACCCGTTTCTGTCCACATCACAGTTACACACTACTTTGTGTTGGTCAGTCACATTAAATTAACAAGACAAAATGTGAACAAGTTCAAAGAGTATGAATACTTTTCCAATTTCTGATATGTTTTAAAAGATTATTTGGGTGAGCCCTGAATACCAATGGACCACACATGCCTGCTCCTCAAGGAGTATATTTGCATAAATTGGCAGTATTTTGACTGGAATTTGGTTTGAATGACTCTTTAGTCAGCAGCCAGAGAGGTCGGTCGGAGGCTAAGAGCTCCTTGGGTTAAAAAAGAAAGATTAAGAAAAAGCCATGACTAGCTTGACAAGCGAAACCAGAGTAGGCTCACCTCTCCAAACTGAAAGGCGGAAACGATCATGAGGACGAGCCCCCCGAAGCAGAGGTAGAGACCGTATCGGTGGGACAGACAGGTGTAGGTCTGCCTCTGCAGCAGCTTCAGCACCGAGTTCACGACGACCATGACTCTCCTGGGTCGAGCATAGCGCTGCATTCATTCAAAAAAAAGTCGAAACAACCGCCTGTTAAAGCGAAAGACAAAAGTAAGTAAACATCAGAAGCGAGACGGATGCGTCAGCTGACCACCCGATCGACTGCACATGACAACCGACGCATCTCGCTCTTCTTCGGCGGCGGTGACGCTGGAACCGAGGTGCTGCTTCTCCGGCAAAGGCTCCATGTTGCCCTCTGGTGGAGAGAAGTTGGCACTACAAATTCTGCTATTACTCTGCAGCATTAAATTAAATTATTTTTATTTATCTGAACACATCATTTTTCTTACTTTGTAACTGCACAAAAGGATAATTACGTTTAATTATTGATGCACATTTTTTTAAATCAAGAAGATGATCAAATTACAGTTAATATTTTGTTCCACCAAAATGATCAACCTTGAATTTAATTGACTGAAAGAAAAAGTGTCAAAAATGTCAATGTGTTTTGTTTTAGCTGATATATCTCTTATTTATTGGCAGGTAGTCTAATTTAGTTGTAAACAAAATTAGGTGTTTGAATCTTAAGCTGTGGGACCCTTTGAAATTTCTTTATAAGATACCACCTTCAAAAATTTTTATTTTTTTATCTCTTTTATCTTTTTATTATTCAGAATTTCATATTTTAGGCTGTAATGATATTTGTTTATAAATATTAGACAAACTATTTAGGTTAGAAAAAATATAGACTCTGCTTAATTGCTTTGATTGTTTGTAAATAGTTAGTTTTACATTTATATTTATTTTTAAATTCTATCATTGTTACATATTTGGGGGGAGGGGTTAGGAATTGTTTGAAGATTTTGTCAGTTTATTTTATATTTTTCATCTTCGTCCTTCTTCCCCTTGTCTTGTATTGCTTTAATTAGCTAACTATTTTGTGTTCAGTTATCTGAAATTACATGTTGCTTCAGTATTTATACAACTTTAAAATGTGTTTCAAAAACAGTGTCACGTGGGTTGAAGCTGTTGGAAATATTATGTGTTATCATTCTTACATGTGTATAGATTATTGATCGGACCATAGCAGTATTATGTCACTAAGTGTTGGCCTTTCACTGTCTGTGTTAAATCTTTTGACTGCTGTGTTGAAGAATTTTGACCCACTCACAGAATGTCTCTGCTGCAAGATAACTGATTGTTCCCTCCACCTTTAGGAGGTCCTTAGACAAGGACCTGTGTGTAGAACTTGTAGACAAAACATGCCTTCTGTCTCTTCTCTTTATCTCTCCCTTCTCTGAAAATAAAAGACAAGCTCTAACTGGAAGTTATCAGAGCGCGCGGTGGCCAGCTCGTTGGAGCGCTCCGCTGCGTCTTCTCCTTTCATGAAAGCTTGGTAAGTTGTCTATGGTTCTTTTTACGTAGGTTCAGAAAACGCCTATCAGAAGCCATCTCCTATAAGAGATAAGCCAAACATTGTGAGACGGTTCTGGGTTGAAACAACTGAAAAGCAGAAATGGTTTTTAACTTTATCAAACACATTCTGCCACAAAAAAAAAAAAACATCTTAAATGTTTTTTTTAAGCCTTATTTGTCACTTCATCTATTTGTCTTGTATTCTCCATAAATATTTAGCTCATATTTTACATAAGCATCTTGTTTGTTAAAATGTCCTGTGAAACATGAGCAGTGCTGAAGACATAGCAGTTTTAAAATGTACTAAAACCTAAAGTAAAACATGATATGAAGTCAGATCTTCAGGCCTTATAACTCTGATTGCGTTAATGTGTATTAAACAACAAGGTAGTTTTCTTAAGACCACATTGGGGCAACAAAAGGCACAGGAAACACATCTGACTTGGTTGCACAATTAGAGGAAATGTTGATCTTCCTCACAATGACCTTGCAGGATCTGCATCTGTAAGATCAAATAATGCACATGTGCAAAAGCAGAAGTATAAATAATTATCTCTTCTAATGTTATACTCCAGTGTTTGGAGTTATCTGTCTAAGCAAACAAAGATTGTTTAGTTTCAGGCTTCTGCTATCAAGCCAGAGTAAGAATGTGTTTATTTTTTAAAGAGTTGCCAAGTTGGGCAACCTTCAACGAGTTTGTGCAACAACAGAACCTCAGACCCAGTCCAGTAGTGTGTGTCTTGTTATTTTTATACACATTTATATCTCGAAACACTTAAAATTCCTTTTTGAAATCCTCCAGTACTAAAGCACTCAAGGGAAAATAAAACAACATAAAACAGAGCAGCTACTCCCAACCTTTGATGAAAAGTTGCATCATGTCCAAAGTGCTGATTAATGATTAATTCCTGAAAATTCCTGAGCTGGTTTCTTACAGTTCAGACTTCTGTTTTCTGCCAGTTTGTGTTTCATTTCTTTAATTTGTGGATTTTCCACCGTTAAATCGCACTACTTTCAGTTTTCTGTTGCAACACGTTGACATTTAGTTTCTGTTTAACAACCTTCCCACTTGTTGTTTTTGGGAAACATCTAAACCACATCAGAAGGAAATTTCTTTCTGGTTTTGTAATCCTCTCCTTTTATTTCATGTGATAGCTATGTTTCCTGTCAGCTGTTCAAGGCTAGACTCATGTGTTTGCCTAATCTTGTGCAGGTATTTCTTTCAAAAGGAGATAACAAATCACTAAGATACTTCATCTAAATGCCATTAGAAGGCAGAGGAGTGATTTGGATATTTCACAGTATGTTCTTTGTCCAAAACGATGACGATCTAATAAACTTTTCAGGATTTTAAGTGGCAAAAGTAAAGGGTTCCATTTGTACGGGGGTCCATTTGACCCAAAAATATGTTTGTGTCTTGCGACATATTCATGTGAAAAACCAACACAAAGTAGTTTTCTACTATGGACCAGAAGGGAAATTATACTTTTTTATGCTATGAATAATAATAATAATAATAATAATAATATGAATAATATGAATAATATGAATAATACTAATATGAATAATATAAATAATATGAATAAGAATAATACATAAATAAAATTTTGCAATATATTGCTCTACATATGTGCCTCCTCCCTCAGTGAATATTTTTGCTGAAATTCTGTCATTTGGGGTGTATTTGTACCAGCTTTGCACATCTAAATGCTTTTTTTTTTTTTTTTCCCATTTTTCAAATTAAATGGAGAGCTTTTGTAAACATGAATACTACTTTTTGTTTAACATATTCAACATCTGAATATGCTTTGATCTAAAGTAGTTCTGGTCATAAGTTTAGAATGTATGTGCTCTTTTCTAGTCACCAAGAGTGAATTTTACCCTCAGTCCAGATGCATACAGCTTGTTTAGAGCAGTAAATGTTTAATGGAGTTTTGAAAAAACAACAACAACAAAAACACAACTTTCATTTTTCATTAATTGTCATTGTTAAAACGGAAAAATTCATTTCCATGGTAGCATCAATAAATATCAGTAAATTTTAAAAAATATGATTAAAAGCAGCTACTGTTTTGTGTTTAGTGATATAAATCACTTTTTTAAAGCAAGTAGAGTCCTGAAGAAGCTTATTTCTAATTGGAATGTTTTTTAACAACAATATATGTGTTTGTGGTGCTATAAATGTTGTCATTTACATAAAAAATCATCATAATGGTACCACAAAACATTCCAGTAAAATTCAAGGTCCATACTACCCGCCCCTGTTTCAGAAGCCTGGATTAAGAGGTGGCAGAGAAAAAAGGGTTAAATATAAAAGCATGCCACACTTTTCAGATCATTTATCTGTGAAAACCTTGGGGAAAAGTGCATAATTTTCCTTAAACTCTACATTTTGTTGGTTAATCACATGAAACTGACAAGTTGACAATGAAACCTCCTGCAAATTTCCGCAAAATCAATTTTAACTCCAGATTGACTTTATTGGTTGCACTTCAAAGTGCGCCATTTCAGATGCAAACTGCACGGAGGCAGCTCTGGCTGTAAAAGGAAATAAAGCAGTGAAGTAGCGAAGTGGTAAGGGTTCGTGTGTGTGTGTGTGTGTAGGCGGGCCCGCAGGGAGTCGCTTTGGGGAAGAGTTTACAGTACACCGACGTCGCACAGCCTGCAGGTTCATTCTTGTTAACTCAGCCCAGCATGTGACTGCCGATAAGTCATATCACAACAACTCCCATCACTTCGCTCCATCTCTTCCTGTATGGCTGTGTTTTCTCTGCTCGCGTCCAAAGGGAGTGAAGCTCGCTGAAGGTTGCGCTGAAAACCTTTGGAGATGTTCTGGTTCACGCAGGGGCTTTGCTTCCTGCCCGCGTTTCTGGTCGTCTGGTCCTCCTGCACTTTCATCGTCTCCTATATTATTGCGCTCTTTAGACGCGATGTGGATATTATATTCCCCTATATAAGGTACGTTTCTTTTGTCATATTTAAGAAAAAAATAAAGTAGAACAACAATTAAACAAAGCAGGTTTCCTAACTCTGATTTATGGTCGCTACTTTAGTTTCGTTTTCCTCCAACTGCACGTACACATCTGTTAGCTGCTGTTTAATTTCTAATGACATAAAAGTGCTATTTTTTTTTATTTTTTTTTTTACTTGCGTATACTCTTACTTTAAATTTGAAATACAAATCGTAACAGAATGAGTTAAAAACGTTTAAATGTTGTGATTTTAAGCTCATAAACTGAAACATCAAAGAAACGGAGCTGGAAATTTGTTTAATTTCATATAAACAAATAAAAATCATATTTCTGTTATTGCAATGGAGATCTTTTTCTCTGCTTATTTTTCTAAAAACAAAGTAGATTTAACTTTAATTTAGCCGTCAACATATAAAGACAAAAGAAAAATGACAGGAAGTTACAATTTTACATCTGCTTTCTCATAGTAATAAAGAAAACATATTGTTTTCCAGATTTTTAACCAATAAAAATCAGAAACAATATAGCGTACACTGCAAAAACACAAAATCGTACCAAGTATTTTTGGTCTAGTTTCCAGTGCAAATATCTTAGCACATTTAAAATAAAACAAAACTAACTTACAAGATATAGGAGCAAATATTTACAGTAAATAATTCCTTAATATTGATCAAAACATCTAGTAATTAGTTCCACTGGCAGATTATTTCACATATATTAAGACATTTTCCCACATGTAAGATAATCTACTGGTACTTTTTAATCAATATTAAGGAATTATTTACTGAAAACCAAGTAACTAACTAGACCAAAAATATTTGGTAATATTTTGTGTTTTTGTTCAGAAATGTTGATATTGATACATCTATATTAAATCTAGTGCAGCAATCGTCTCAAAAAGGTTGTGTGTAATTAGTTTATTCTCAGAATAAATGCAGTTTTCTATGGGTCTATGGCTTTTCAAGAGCAGACAAAGGGAAGTTGGTCAATTTTTCAGAAGAATTTAGACTTGCGAGTGAGACGAAAAACCCAAAGCTACACTGGACTGATCCAGATGAGAGCATATTCTCTTTATGGAATGGTCTAGTCAAAGTCCAAACATAAGCCCAAAAGTTTAGCTGTTTTTCAAAGAATGGAGAAATACATTAGTTTCTAAGTGTGCTAAGGTTAAGGCAGTGAAAATGAATATAGATGCTTCAGTTTTAGGGTTTTTATACATGAAAAAATGCATATCCTGGTATTTTGGGTTGAAATATTAGATCAAATTTGTACAAAACTGTAAAAACTTTCTTTATTTTCTCAGTGATACGGGTGCAAATCCACCTGAGAGCTGCATTTTTGGCCTTATGACCTTCATTTCTTCATGTGCAGGTATTTTGTTTTCTTTTTTTTTTTATTTCCCAGTGAGCATCTGCTTTAATTGCGCAACTCTGGGTTCTCCCAAGGGAGGAACCAAGCTTTCCAGTGATGCTGCACACATTTCCTCTTTTTATCCTGAAAATGAAAGCAAGCCTTTCTTGGACTTTGCGCTGTGACTTTTGCCCAGGAACTGCCACCATTTACGCCAGATATAAATATGTGGAGAAGCTGATCGAGCAGAATGGCCTGGTCAAACCGCGCCTGAATCAAGCCGCGCTCGTGTTTGGGTTTGCCGCCTGTTTTGGGATGTGCGTCGTTGCTACTTTCCAGGTATTTCTTCCTCCATATGTTAAGAATTTAATATCACATAATGTGACCTTTAATTGTTTTTTATTATTATTATTATTATTATTCTTTTTACCTGCAGGAAACAGCAGTGACGATAGTCCATGATATCGGGGCGCTTGTGTTTTTCGTCTGTGGAGTTGTTTACATAATCCTGCAGTCTGTAATATCTTTCCAAGCGTCTCCTTATGGGTCGTCCACCTGTGTGTGTTGGATCCGTTTGTCCATCGCAATAGTTGCTGCAGTTGCATTTTTTCCCAGTATCCTTGTTGGAGCTGCTTGGTTTGGATGACGTGTGCTTGTGTCGTTATCGGCTCTGTGCAAGTTTTCCTAAGCCAATAACTCAGCTGTGGTGTGTGCGTCTTTCGTTAAACAAACCACCCTCCACTGGGACACACATGACAAAGTAGGTTGAGTTTTTATTCTCTATAATCATCATTAATATTTCTTACCATCAGAATGAAAGTATCACCTTCCCCACAGCTTGATTAGTAGTCTGCACTTGATGCGAATGGAACTGTGAGAAATATAGTTTGCAAGTTCTGAGGAATTGAAGCTTTGAGTTTAAGTTAAAAAAGCATTATATATTTTTTATATGCAAAATATGCATATATATGCGATATTTTCGCTAATGTATGATGCTCAATGTGACTTTTTATTACTCAAATCAGTTACGGACTATAAACTCACATAAGGTTGAGGCAGCAGTCTATTAAACTTAATGTTTTTGACCAATTTTGAGAAAATTTACAGTGGAATCAGAAAAAAAATGTGGAGATTTGTTGATTTTGTGTGAATTTTCCAGAATTGTGAAAAACTGGTAGGGCTTATTGATGTAATTTAGAGTCTAGAGGGTCACGTTAAAGCTATGGCGGGCCACATTTGGCCCCCGGGCCTTAAGTTTGACACCTGTGCTTTAGAGGAAAAACAAACTTGAAGAATAAGAGACCAATTCTAATCTAATTACATAAATACAACAAAGAAACCACTAAACCCCAGGAATCTGGAAACTAAAGAATCAACTAAATCTGGAGCAAATATATTGAGAGGACCATAAATAATCACAAAATACAAAATCCAGATTAACATGAAACTTAGAGTGAGAAACACCATCTGAACTGTGAAGTATGGCGGTGGCAGCATCATGATGTGTGGGTGCTGCACTTCACAAAAAAGTGTGTCAAGTAAATGTGGAAATATTGAATCAACATCTCACATCGTAAGCAAGACGGGGGCTTATTTTACATATTTTGTCAGGAACTTTGGAAAGCCTCATGATTAGAAAGCTGGCATATGAATTAAAAATATAAATATATTACCATAAGGCCAATTTAATTACACAGGTAAATTATTAAAAGTTGAACAACTGAAGTTTAAGAAAGTTTGGAAACTTTAATTAATAACACTAAAGCATTTAGTTAATATCTCATGTAGCCTGTTTGTGTTAGATATTTAAAGGTCTCCATTATTCTGTGGTTTCTATCCTGTTAAAGGGGTTATCTGGTCAAAAATATGGGGTTCCATTCGTGCCAAAAGTATGTTCATATTCCATACCGAAAGATCAAAAAATATGGAATATTTTTGGATCAATACAGTATTAATTCACTCATTCAGATACTTCTGTGTGTATCTGTGACTTATTCACATCTGATTCTATGCAGGATTATTCGTACCATGTCGCCAGCGCCGTGTGCGAGTGGGTCGTTGCCTTCAGCTTCGTCTGCTTCTTCCTCACATACATTAACGATTTCAAAGTGAGTATCACAGGCCATCAATCACAAATGCTTTCGCTTTTCATTGTTTTCTAAAAGCTTTTTTTTTTTTGTTTTCCTGCAGATGTTTAAGTTGCAAGTGAGGACAGAATATGAGGACTAGACGATCGCCGACGTCATTTCAACGAATTTGTGTACTAAATGCAATTTTTTTGCACTGGAGCTTTTTATACAATCATATATTTTTGCTACTTGAATTGTTTCACATAATATTTTCCTATACCTGATCATTACCAGTGTATTTTTTTTTTTTTTACCTTTTTATACAATCATTTTATACACGTATTAACTTTTTCCTGTTTAAGCACCACTTTGCACTTTGACTGTTGCCACAGCATCGTGACACATCCTGTGAGACCAGTGGCCACTAATAAGAGAAGTTCATCACACATTTCACATGTGACACATGCAGCGCTTGAGGGAAAACGAAAAAACCATGAAAAATGAATCGAGGTTCTTATATTTTGTGCTTCCTTTGTATGTACTGTACGACTGTGTTCAAGTTGTTTTTTAAAATAAGTTAAACTTTTGTTGCAGTAGCAGGAGAAAGTTTAGACGAGTATTTAGTTGTATCTATCCTGTCTTACTTGTTTTTACCATTTTAAAAAGCAGCCAAGCGTGTGACGTCAAATATATACCCTAAGGAAACAGGAAGTCATGAATAGGCTTATTGAAACTGTAGATACTTTGATCCACTAAAAAGGTAGAACAGACAAAAATGTTTAATCTCTTGTTAAACATTTTTGTTAAGGAGGAAACAATTGTGCCAATTTTTTTTTTGGTGGTAAAACAATTTCTTAACACTGGATAAAATTTGTTTAGTGTTGAGAATTTTTCAATGCTTATGCTCATTGGATTTTTCTCAATTTTTCAGTGTGAGATTACACTACTGCAACCAAAGGTTAATTTATTTTAAGCTTTTTATGCATCGAAGATCGCTGACGGCAGAGTAACCTGACGTATACTGTACGTAAAAAGACAATCATAATCTCCTGAATTTAGCTCACCAAGAAGAGACTGAAAACTTACTGTGACACAAAGTAATAAAAAAAGTACGGTATGGAATATTTTTTAAAAATAAAGTGCCTTTCTTACAGCGACAATAAGAAGTGAGACATGTCCAGTCTGCATATAAACTCGTCCAGTTTTTGTACTTAATGTTTATTTTTCTTCAAACTTTGATTATAAATCATCCTACACAGTATTCCAGTTTATGTGGACAAAACTCACCTTCACTACAAATGTTTTTACAAGTGAAAATGTAACTGTATCCAGCAAACTACTGCCGTACTTTTGACGAACTGTACTGTAAAGATTATTTTAAACATTTCAAAAATAAACTGCACGTTTTGTATCAACACATTCGTCTTTAATGGAGACCAACAGCATTTCTTTATATTTTATATGTTTAATTAGTGACTGCTCATGTAGTGTTGGTGCTTTTCCTGCCGACGAGGCAGAAGGTTTGGTTAAAATTGCTTTTTAACAAAATAAAGCAGTAGTACTCCAAACTTGCCGACAGCCTTGTAAAAATGTCTGAAAAGACTCAAAATAAATTGCAGCAGCATGATCTAATTTATAAGAAACTCAAAATGCACTGGCATGTTTTAAATAATTCTTTAACTTGTCTTAAATTAGTCTGAAATTTGATGTGATGAAAAGACCCATTTCTCTTGTGCTTCAAAATGGGAAACACGAGAGTTCATACTAATAAAGCGAGACAGAAAATCTACTTGTAAAGAAAATAAATCTTTAGCAATAACTAAAAATCGACAAATTTTACTGTTAGAGCTTCAGCTGTTTCAGTGCAAAAGTATCTCTGAAATAAACAATTAATTTAATTTAAATATGAAAAACATATTTAAATGATTATGCTACTGAAGTACAACAGCCAGAAAATACATTTATTACCTATAACGAAAAAAAGGTGAATTATTTTGACTCACACGGCAACATCAAGAAGAATTTATATTCAATTTATATAGAAATTATATGTCTGAAATAACATAAAACTAAACTAGTTATTGTTTGGTTTTATGTCCACTCAAGCACTTAATATCATGCAGTCAAGTTTGTGCAACAGGATCTGATTTTTAAACTCCAATATAAAGACCTCCAGTTTCATAATATCAAGAAATGAAGAAAATGCTTTTAATCTTTTTAATTTCCTCATTTAAAAAATTAATTAAGTGTATTTTTTTGCAAGATTTATGAGCCAAATTAATCCTAAATACCACAGAGAGAAAAGTTTAGCTGCTAAATCTTACAATCAGTTTCGTGATGCAGCAAATATCTCAGTTCAAACCAGCATTAATAATGAGGAGGATTTTGTATTTAGGTGCCAAACCTTAATGCACTGCACGGCGCTAACGGTTAAAGGTGCTGATTTAGAGACTTGACTTAAATGTTTAATAGCTCCTAAGGTCAAAGTTCATCTCCCACTGCATCATTCTTAATACTAACTTGAACAGAAATAACAGCTTGTTATGTGAAAGCGGGTCTCCAACTACTACATCGCACAAACAGTACTGTGTTCGAACGACGTACATTTAAAAGATTCGATCCAAAATAATTCCAAACAACTGAAAAACAAATATAAAGTCAGCTTGCTGACAAGCAGCAAGAGGATTGTTGACCATTTCCGGAAGAATTACAATCATCCAATCACCTTCATGTGAACATTTTCACAACCTGCAGCAGCAAAGAGCCTGCAGGAAGCGCCTGGTGCAGCGAACGGCCTTAAACACGGAGCTGTGCAGCGGCAGAGATCAGTCACTGAACAACGATTCGAGATCAGTCACTGAACGACGATTCGCTGTCAGAGCTGGTGGCAGGAATATCCTCATTCTCTGTGCCGCTTGCTGCTCCATCAGGCACTGGAGCGTCAGGTGTGCTGTTGTTGGCAAAATATGATTAGATTCAAGTTTATTTAGCAGGAAACTGTCATTTTTAGACTCATGAGTTAAAAAATAAAACTTACTCGAGCAGATTTGGGTCCAAACCATCCATAAGCATTTTGTTACGAATAGCCATTGGTGGAACTCCCTGGATAAACACATTATTAAAAATATATTTAAAAAAAATATATATATATTTTACGAAAGTTTTTTTAACAGTAATATTGCATAACATCTTACCACTTGAACCATTTTCAGGTAACGTGCATAACGTTGGTCCTTGGCCACAGTCATGACATTCTCTGGAACCGCTTCTGCTTTTTGTGGTGCAGGTGCAGCTTCTGGCTGACTCTGACTGGGCTGCAGCACAAAAAGACGCAAACAGTTCTTCACAAAACCAGAAGCCTTTGCTGCACACAATAACTTGACGGTTAAAGATGCAACTGCATTCAAATGCAGAAACAAGAGTCTGTATTTTGGCAACAAATCCAACCGAAACGTGTTCTCTGTTTTTCTGATAATTGAGTTTTTTTCCTTATCCATCTAATTAATTTTCTTTCATCTGAGAGCAACAGACCAAGGAACCAAAAAGACTGGAAAATCCTTCAAAATAAATATAGGATTCTATAAAATTTGTTTTATTTTTTTCCTAAATTCCACTTTTTCATTTTAATTTTTCTGAATTCGATTTTAACCATATTTTTTAACCCAAAAATATGTAATAAAGATGACAATGTGTGAAAAAAGATCAACAAATCAATAGCTAGAGGTATAAATTTACTAATATTCTGTACCAGTGGTTCAACAGAACATTAGTTTTACAAGGAATATTTTTTAAGAACTCAAACATTATCTGCAAAATTAAGAATTTGGTTTTTAAAAATGCTTAAGAGTTGAACTACAAGAAATAAAAGTTTGTGCACATTTAAATAATGATCAGTAACTTTATTTTTTTTCCCCCTCTTAAATCTGCAGCTGCAGCACTTAAGAATCAAATGCAAAAATATTTGGAATAAATTTGTTTGTGGTTGAGTCTGTTTTCCTACCTGTGAGGGAGGAGCTCCCCCTGCTTTTACACCGTCTGATTGGTTCTGACTGGCGCTAACCGGTCCATTGGATTGGACACTTTGCTGCTGGTTGAGTCCATCCACTGTGACTTCGTCCAGTCCAGGAATGGATGACAACTGCTCAGAAAAAACAATCAATCCATCAAAAAAATGGCAAATACACATTAAATCTACTTGTTGTTTATGTCAGAACTTACTTTGGCCTCCAAAATACACAAAGTGGTTTCGATTTGTTGTATGCGAAGGGAAATGTTTGAAAGTTTCTGTAGTGGGAGTGTTGAATAGATGATTAGTGACTTCAATTAGACAATAAATGTATCCTGAAGTAGAGAGAAAGAAAAGACAAACCTCCTCGCACACAGTAGAGAATCGGTTAAGGAAGCGAACTGTGTGCACAACAAACTGATTGAGGTGGGCGACGACTCTCCTTTGTTGTATAGCAGGAACCTATGAAAGCAGAAAGAAAGCAGAGATGAAGGAATCTGCTCATAGGTGAAAGGAAATCTCCAAGTACAAGTGTCTAAAAAAATGCTAATAACAAACAGACACAAAGAAAGGATGAAGACAGTAGCTGGGTTTCCATTTCAAATTCACAACTTTGTCAAAAAACACAATTTCACAATTACAGTGTTTCCATGAAATAAAAAAAAAACGCAATTATAATCACACATGAATAACACTGTTCACAGATAAGTCATTAAAAAATTTCACTCAATGATCCTCTATTTCCTGTAGTCTTCTTGTTCGTGGTTTGTTCCAGTGGCAACATCCGGTTGGTGATTATGTGACTGGTATGATGCGGAAAAAAGTGTTTCCATTTTCAGATTTATTGCAACACTGACTGCTACAGGAGATCCTACCTGGCTACTACATCACAACAACTCTTTGAAAATAATTAGATTATATGAGTTAAGACAACATTAATTACTCCTTTGGGATAAATAGACTATCTATGAATTTGAATTTGAAATGGACGGACTTTAAGATCCCCTCGACTTCTTATTTACGTCTATTCCTTCCCGTTACTTATTTAGTTGCTATTCTGTGATGGTAGGAAAAATTCAACTGCCATATTTTTGGAAGACAAAGATTGCAATGAACGACGGATTATAACCGATGTCAGTTTAATATTTGAATATAATTTAAAAGTGGACAACTATAAGTAACTTACAAACGAGCCAGAGTTTTCCCTGCAGAAACCGAGGATATCCTAAACATCACTTGAAGAGACGAACTGTTTCGTTATGCTTCTACTTCCTCAGTCAGCTTTTAAAATGACAACCAACGAGTTTAAAACACGAACCTTAGTGAGATCAACTCCAGACCCAACGATTGGCAGACCGTCTTCGTCCATGTCGGGTTTTCTGTAGATAAAATAAGATATTAAAGGGAGGAAAGACTGAAAGCTGTGACCCGGTCATGTGACTCCGAAATACGTGACCTTTGCGTCGTGACGTCGCCAAAATGAGTTTTATTTTGAAGACGCAGTTTTTAAAAAAATGATTTGAACCGACTTTTACAACCACGTATCGTTAAATTGACGGTCTGGATAATGTAGGATGTGTACGTACTCTGTGGGGGGGGGGGGAAGGGAGGGGGGGAGGGGGGGGGGAGAAGAAAAATTGTTTCGTATTATTGAGGCTTTTATTTTGAAAAGCGGAAACTCGATAGGGGAGTTGAGGAAGGGACGATTGCGTTCTAACAACGCAACCGGCTGAAACAAAAATATTTTATAGCAGATTTATTTGCGCGCTAATGGAGGCTCTCAAATCAAAACAAAAAATGATCGGTATGTATCTGAATGAATTGCTTTTAATTAAATTAATCGCTGACTATATCTTAACTACTAATCTGATACTTGGGCCCCGTCTATTTAATGAAATCGTTACATTTTTAAACAACCACCCTGCTGCGCAGTGGAAATGATCATTGTATTGCTTGGGACTTTTTACATTATTAAATATTACACTTTGTTATTTATATTAGAGCTGTTAATTTATTAGTCGGCGCAATTAAATGAGGTCTCTCCAGGAATTATTCCAGTTCATAACCGGTCAACTCAGATGATCACATACCGAACTGAATATATATGAATTAATAATTGTGTGTTTTTCTTGTTTAAATAGATTATTTCTCCTATAATATGTAATTAATGTGAAGTATTTGAAAAAATCGAAAAATTAAAAAGATAGCTGCAAGTGAAACTCTACAAACTCCTCCTAAGTTACTTATTGCTGCCCTCTAGAGACCATTTCTTCACACTACACCTTTCTGTTCCAGACCCATGCTTGCCTTTGCAGTCCCTTCGCCTCCTGGTGCCCCCTTTGCAGCTTCTGTCTGCTGCCATGTGGCATGTGGTGAAGCAGAAGGACGTGATGAACTACTGGAAGGTGC